CCTAAAAAAAACAGTTACCTTTTTTGAGGGACAGTTAATAATGTAGACATAATACAAACCCATATTTTATTCATTCTCAATCATGTTTGGGGTAGAATATAATTTATTAGGCATTCAAATGTTTAAAACATGAAAAATCCCAAACGCAATTATGATACAAATTTAGTCATTGTTCAGATATAACAAAAATCATGAAATCATTGTTAGTACAAGACCGAGTCATTTAATCTCATCACAGTTTACCACGATTTGTTCACCAGTTTAAGAATTTTTACCAGTGTGAATTATCTGGTGCTGTTTCTGTTCAGCATCTGTAATAAAGGTCTTCTCACACTCAAAGCACACGATTCTTCAAACAACTGCGTTTTAACTAGTTTAATTTTAAAACATTCAGCTGTGAAATATTCTTTCCACACAGAGAACACATGTGTGGCTTCTCTTCTGAATGAGCTTTCAGGTGGTCTACATTAATTGTATACATAATTGTAAACAAAACTACATTAATCCACAACAATAAAAATCAATTCAATAAAACAGACTTAAAATGCATTCAAAACATGAAAATCAACAATTTACTGTATATTGTGCCATTAAATATTCCTTTAAAGATTTTTTAAACCTCATTTTACTTAAAATATATGTCCGATGGCAAATCATTCCATACTTTGGTTCCTCTATAAATTAGTCTGTTGCTTTGCATTAGTTTATCGGTTACTTGTGGTTACCTGTTAGGTTCTGTGTCTCATTGTTATCTTTTTTTTTTATATTTAGAGCTTGATTCCTCCATACAGTGTTCAGTCTTGATTTAACTTGAATATGTGAGGGAATCCGGTTAGTTTACCTTAAAGTGGACAGGAGTGTGGAGGTGATACTGGGAAGTTGGGAAACAAGAGATGTTAAAACAAAAGATTGATCTTGTAATAAATAAACCTGGAGTGACAAATTATTTATTCCCAAAGATCTTAAAGCTTGAATTAGTTGAAATCTTGTTTTTTTTTTTACATGCATCACATTTCATAAGTATGTGTTCTATGGTTTCTACTTGTCCACATTTGTCACAATTTCCAGTTTCATGTTTCCCTTTTGTATTCAGAAATTTAAAGACCAATGTCCGATACACATTCTTAGAATATAATATTCTTAGGGAGAACTGTCCCTTTCAATATACATACAATGAGAACATGTCTTTATATTAGCCAGCCAGACCACTTTAAGGACCACCCACTGGTCCAACGACAGAATCCAATGGTGGGGTGAAAGATTATGCATGCGTATTGTCTGCTGCTTCTGTAAAAATCACTTAATTTGGTTTTCCCAATTTATAATCTGACTCAATTTGTAATTTAATTCTAAATCCAATTTCAATGAATACTTAATTTAACGTGGATCATAAGATTAGTGGTGCATTAACAATTTGGATATTTGAGCTTTCTGGGAAACCCTTACGTTCAATTACTAATTCGCCAGGGACACAATGCCACAGAGGGGCAATGAATATGTTAACATTTAACATGGAGAAGAAAGTTTGAGAAAAAAAAAAAAAAAAAAGGCTCACAAATAAACGGTTTTATAAAATGATAAATTCTACATTTCAGTCTTTAAACCGTATTTTAATAAGAGGGATGAGCCAAAAGTATCAATTATAAATCAGTCATTAGGACTAGATTTAAACAAAAAAACCTGAATGTTTTACAAAATTATTAAACCAAGATTTACACATACTAAATCTCTCGCATTAGTATAATGCCCAGTTAAGACATGATTTTAGCCCGATTTTGCAACGATTTGCTTGACGTAGGGCATCGTGGGGATCCGTAAACGACAAGCTCCTGGAGAAATCAAAAAATAAATAAAATAAAATAAAAACACACAATACAGAAGTCTTGCTAAACTAGGAGATTTATTTGGTGAACGTAGAAGACCTCATAAAATTCCCAATGGTTAAACTGGCATGGTTAGCTGCATGCACAGGTGGTTGGGCAACACTTTGGTCAGGCAGGACATTGATCATCGTGGGAAGAGTTATCAGCACACATTTGGTCTGAGACATGGATCAGGCCTCACTGCATGGAAACAGTCAGAATTAGTCTGTTCATTTAACAGCAAACAGCACAAAGCACTCAAAGCATCAGCCACAAGTTTTACTTTTACAGCAAGTTGTATTCCAAGTTTTATTATTTATTTTGAAAATCAATGCACTTGAAATGGTGCTATGGACCAAATTCAGGTACTTTACCATTTAAAAAAAAATAAAGACACTAAAAAGAAAAAAACGTGCGTGCTGGGGAACAAAGCATATATAACATACCTTTATATGGAGGTGTACATTCACGTCCACATTTAGTGCTG